GTTGTACGTTTAAATAATTAACACGGGAACTAATTCCATCATATCACAGTTGTAATCAGGAACATACTCTAAAATAATAATAATGCGTAAATCACAGCACACGACACCGACAAAGGCTTTATAAAGAAACAATTCTGTCTTGGGAAGCTAATTATTTAGTGATTATTTGGCGATGCTGCTGCTGCTTTGACAGTGTCGCAAACACATGCAAATAACAAGAACAACAACAACGCATTCATCAATAATAACACTGTGGCCTTGAAAGGGAAAAAAATCTATAAAAGGTGACGCTTCGAACAATGGCCATTCTTCATGCCACATGTATTCAGATGCTCGTCTACGGCCGTCTGGAACGCTCTTCCTTCCGATATTCGGAAGCCACGGGTGCTATGCAGTTTTAAATCTATATTGAAATTGTATTCCTTTAGAACTGCTCTTACTGTGTTTCGTTTGTTGTCCTTCCCCCGCACATCAGATTAGCACGGTTTGCTACATACGGTGCGAAAGAAGTTAAACATACACACACAGTACATCCTATTCGGTTTGTTGTTTAAAGGAGCTCGTCCTGGGCTCGGTGAAAAGGGCCCTCGGGCAAGCGCACTCCAGACGTGACGGCAACTCAGAGGCGGATTTTTAAACAAGTAATATTAAAAAATAAAAAATGTAAACACGCTTTAATGAAATGTACCGTACTATTATTGGAAGAACTCCACGACTACAGTAAGTGGCCCCGAATTTTTCCATAATGTAAGGGACCATGGCCAATTACAGCCAACGTGAGTTTACCGTGGACAATTAGACCCAAGCCGAAACATCACATATAAAAAATAATATTATAAAATTGATGTTTTTATTTATTTTGTATGATAGAATATGGTATTGTCATCAGAATGACATAAGTATACCAAGTTTGTAGTCGCTACCACATTGGGAAGTGGGTTAAAATTGAGTTACAGGATTTGACGATACAACAACAACGACAACAAAAACAGACAGAGTGAGTTAAATAAAATCGTGTAATAATAATAAAAAAATATCCAGCGTGGCCTCTTGACCGTTCCGCTCGCACGAGGCCAACAACTTCGACGGGCAGCCGCATTTGTTTTCTTGCACGCTATGCATCAGTCAGAGCCTCACTCGGACCGAGGCATTTCTAACACAAGGGAGAGCCTCGGTGAGTCTCGTGCTAATTGTGTCAGGAAGGTGCAGCTAGCTGACTAGCCAGCGACGATTGCTGGACGACCAAATCATCCGGAACGCGCCCGAACTCGTCAGTTCTCGGAAGCTAAGCAGGTTTGAGCATGGCTCGTGCAAAAATTTGGCGACCACTATACACAGAACGGACGCTGTACGCTTCTGCGGGCTTGTATGTTGAACTTCTATCGCACCGTACGTAGCCAAAAAAAGTGTGGGGGAAGGACAACAAACTACAATGTCCACAGAGGGCCCAGCACCAAGAGGCATCGCTGCACCATGATGATGCTTCAACGTCTAAACTCCGCGCCTTCATTCACGTGGCGAGGAATGGTCAAATAAACCCCATGCCATGCACGGTCGTGGGGCTGATCTCATCCATACTCTTAGGTTTTTTCGGTAAAGTCACGTAGGTAAAAAATTCATAATAAAAATAAACAATAACAAATAATAGGAGAAATAATAACACAAGCTTGTGTTGCCTCCGAAACGTCGTGATTTATTATTTTATTTTATGATTTCTTCTATTATTTGTTTGTATTTATTTATTTATTTTCCTACGTGACTTGACCGAAAAAACCTAAGAGTATGAATCCTTACAGTCACGAAAGCTTCAAATCTAGAACTGATCTCATCCAGTCATGAATAGATTTTAATAAAAAAAAAGAGTTCTAAAGTTGTAATGCATGCACGTCCAAGAAGCTTCGCAGGCGAGGCACATCGTTGGCAAAATGTTAACTACCTCGCCTGGTCTACAGGAGATCGTGGGTTGGATCCTGCCGACGCTGACGCCTGCTGTCTATTTGGAGTTTGTACTTTCTCCCCGTGGTCGCGTGGATTTTTCTCCGAGACCTCCGGGGTTTTCCCTCCACATTTTCTAAACATGAGTGGAGCGTACCTTGCCTGCTATAAATGTCCAGGTGATAAGCCACTTCGTTTAGCTATCATTTGTGGCGAGGTCGCTTCTGAAAAAAGAACTCCGCAGCTCAGTGAGTCTTACCTGGTAAAATAATAAATATATACATTTCGTTTTAAAGCTTTCGTGACTGCAGGGATTCATCTTCTTGGTTCTTTCTATTATGTTTTATTTTTATTATTTTATTACTTCCCTTCTACGACTTTACCGAAAGAACCAAGAAAATAAATATATAGTTGAGTTCATAGTTGTCTCGTTTAAATCACAGACGAGCTGGAAGGCAACCCGAACCGGCACTACCAACAACTGCCAGAGTTCTGTGGCCCTAACTTGGGACGTTTGGCGAACCTCATTAAGGTGGGAGAAAACCCACGCCTACGAGGGGCAAACAACGCCATCTGTTCCATCTGCGCACGTCCGCTATGATAGAGTCCACGTTTGCTCTACCGCCGCCTCATGGCAAGCCAGGGTATGGCACCTCGAGTTTTGCAACAATGTTGCGATCCCAACAACTCCTCCGCCTCCACGGCGGTGGTTCTGCAGGCATGCTCAGCAGCCACCACCTTTACCAGGGGCTGTACACCGGTTGGGATGTGTGACCGACGTCCCCATATCGAACACCGGCCACTGAGTAGAACATCGTATTTTATTTACTTTCATTTTACAAAGTAAGCCCCACTGAGGTCTATTTTTCAGAAGCGACTTGGCCACAATTGATAACTCAACGAAGTAGCTTATCACGTGGAGATTTCTATAAGCCAAATACTCTAAACGCACGTTGATTGTAAACGTGGAGGGGGCGAAAGCCGTAGGACCCGGAGAAATATCCCCGTGACCACCAGTACTCGAAAAGCCTAAAGTACTGTATATACGAGCCAAACCGCTGCACACCAAAATCGCCGTACACATTAAGAGATGGACAACCTACTTGCTGTACTACACCATGCGGCGAACTTTATTTGCTTTTAAAGTATGGACGTCCCAAGCTCATGGTCTCAGTGTGATTCGCCAACCCCGTTAATAAAGCGCACGCCGTGGAGTTCAACGCAGGCAGACTGCGTGTACACGTCTTGGAAAATCGCCTGATGAAGCTGGTTGTTGAAATCATCAGCGACACGTGACGGAACTCAAATTGTCGTGGGGTGACCCTCCAACACACCGCCGGTGTGCCGAAGTAGTCACCAATTGGCACGTTTTGTTTACGTGACAAACCCTGAATGAATGGCTGTGTCGGGTGGTGGTGGGTTAACGACACATTTATATTTACGCGATCTAACCCCCCCCCCCCCTTTATTAATTATGAATGCTAAAACAATGAGTTTTGCAAGAACTTTATCGCCATCTCCTGGCCACCTCACTGGTGGTCAAGAGATGGCGGTGCAGCAACAGGATTAAGCCTCGGTTGTAAAGAGACGCGCGTTATATAAAAACGTACGCACTTCACTGAATCGATCCGTACGTAGTATTATCCTGTGAAACGTGTGGTGGCTTTTGCTCCAGGTTCTTTGGTTTGCGCTCGCCACAAGAAGCCAGCCACTCACTCATGAAGCTGCCGAGTTAGTCCGAGTCAGTGGCGTGACCACATTATCAGCTCGGGGGGGGGGGGGGGGGGGGGGGGGCGGAGGGGGTGGGTGCAGCAATCGGTCGTTAAATTAAAATGAAACGCGGAAGGGACGTGACATTATTTTCATCGAAACTAATTGAAACCGTTAATTCTAGATTTGAAGCTTTCGTGACTGCAATGATTCATACTCTTAGTTCTTTCGGTAAAGTCACGTAGGTAAAAAATGAAATTAAAATTAATAAAAACAAAATAATAAAATCACGACGTTTCGGAGGCAACACAAGCTTCCGTCTTCAGGTGAAACTGTCACAGCAAAGTTTCACCTGAAGACGGAAGCTTGTGTTGCCTCCGAAACGTCGTGATTTTATTGTTTTATTTTTTTTTATTTCAATTTTTTACCTACGTGACTTTACCGAAAGAACTAAGAGTATAATTGAAACCGTGTTTTAAATAATTGCGTTGTTCTCTTACACTGTTGTTGACAAGATATCTCGTGGTGGCTGTCGAGGGGGGCCCAGCTCGTAGCTTTGGCCACCGTGGGACGTGAAGGCGGACCAAGGCACCCCTTGACCTCCACGCGAGCAACGCCACGGCCAGCGGAGCAGGACCCTCCAAAATAAAAAAAGAGAGAGCCTAGAGACTCGTGAGCGAGACTCCGTCGAGTTAAATCAAAGAAATGAGTCGCATAACGAATATCCATCAAGTTGTTCGGTAATGCTATCCGCATATTTTCTACAAATATTAAACAAAAACACACCACTTCGTTTGTGTTGAGTCAAGTTATGGGCTGTTTGGACCCGGAATTGGCAGGAATTGAAATCGGGTGTCCAAGATAGTATAAGACGACAAGCGCTCCATCAGACTCAGCAACCACCCTCCCTCCCACCCATCCCCTCTCCGCACCCCAACCATAACCCTCTCGCCCACCCATCCCCTCTCCGCACCACCCTAACCCCAACCGTGTAGCCCCTCGCTTATTCTCTCTTAAATCCCTCTCTACCCCCACGTATCTCCACGTGCCGTACCAAACTCTCGACCATAACTCCCCCCCCCCCCACTACCACTTCCCCGAATTCAGCCACCCTCCCCCCTCCTTCCAAACCATCCCTCCACCCTCCCCCCAGTTCCATCCCACATCGCTCCCACCCCTACCAGAGCGTCGCGAAGGGGCACTCCGCTCCAATATAGAAGCGCCGTGGCGGCGTTCGTACCGCACCCTTCTGCGGCGCGCCCGAGCCGTGCAGAAGAACCCAGCATCGCTGCCGACATCAATTAAATAAATAAATCTGCCACGACTTCCAGGCCAGTCCGCCCCCCTCCCCCCCACACAATCATTTAAAAGAACATACTCCCATCCCGCCAGCTACCTATCCGACTTAACTCGAGCGCAGGCGAATGTGTTAATTAAGCCATTCATTGCAAAGCCGTCCGGCCAAAGTGAGAGAGCTCGCGGGTCTCGGGAAGAGGAGGAGGAAGAGGAGGAGGGCATTTGACCGTGGCACTCACGAGCGGTCACCTAAATCCGGGGCGTTGGGGCTCGACGACTTCGCTTGCTGCGCCACGGCCCCCCCTGCGAGCTCCGCGGCGATGGTGAAAGGGACGTCTCTGGTTGTGCTTCAGTACGCGATGCTGTGCACCCTGCTGCCGCAGTGTCCAGCGCAGAAAGCGGGGCTCAGGGTAAGTTCGCGCGAGATGACTTATGTTATTACCGTTGATCGCTATCTACGCGACGAGCGTGTCGCTCACCCCTTTCACCCGCGTGTGACACCGTCGCTTGCGAGTTATGTCTGAATCTCAGCTGGGTTTCCTCCCCGTCTACGATGGACTCAGCCTTTAAATGACTACAGTACCTGGTGCGGTGTGTAAAGTGTCAGTCCCCGGGGAGATAAAGGCGTCCAAGACTTAATAGGTGCTCGGACAGCACTCGTCTGTGTCAGGATATGTGGGGGATCTTTGTTTTTGTCTGTGTCACTATCGCAGTGTGTGTCTGTGTGTGTGCCTGTGTGTGTGCCTGTGTGTGTGCGCCTGTCTGATCCCGTAGTGTAGCGGTGAGCGCGCTGTGCTTGACACCCGGCGACCCGAGTTCATTTTCCGCTGATTGTCAACACACCAGTGACAATTAGTTGAACCGATCGTGAGTCTCCCCTAGGTCGACTCAGCCTCAAATGAGTACCTGGTGCGATACGTGCAAACAGCGCTACTAGGGAGACAAAGGCGGTCGTGCGTAGTGCTGGCCACCCACCCCCTCGTGTGCCGTGCCGGCCTTCATAGGTGCTCGCTAACAGCACTTGCCCCAACAGTCTGTGAAGACTTTACGGGGGGTCTTTGTCTTCAGTGTCTGTACGCACCTCTGTGAGCGTCTATGCCAGACTTCCTATCGATGCGCGCATGTGTGTGTGTGTAAGGGTATCATCGGTGGCGCAGTGGTTCCTGCACTGAGCTAAGATTTCGGTTCTCTGAGTTGAACTCCCAGCCATGGATAACATCAATGGCAATTGATATCTGAACCGGCCATGGGCCTCCTCTAGGTCGACATAGACTTAAATACATACCCAGTTGCGTTGTGTATATACTTTATAAAGGCGGCCGGGCGTGCTGCTGGCCACCCACCCCCATTGTGTGCCGGGCCGGCCTTAATAGGTGCTCGCTAACAGCACATGCCCCAACCGCCTGCTGAAGGCTTTATGTGGAACCTTTAATTGCGCACGTGGTGTCTGTGTGTCATTTTATCATTGGTGGCAAAAGTGGTTCTTGTACCGCTTAAGAATTCCGGCGAACTGGGTCCAATTCCTCGTCACGGACAAATAAGTGGCAAGTGGCATCCGAACCGGCCACGGCATCCCCTAGGTCGACTCAGCCTTAAATGAGTACAACTGCGGCCGGGCATGATGATGGCCACACCACATCATATTGACCTCAATTCGGGGCATGCTCCTTAAGATGACTTGGGAGCAGTCAATGAGAGAGTCCAATAAAAGACTCCACGGGGATGAGTTTGTATTTGTCTTCTACGTGTGCATGTGTGTAAGGTGCATGGGCAGCGTATCCAACGTTTCACGCACATCACTGCACTGCAAAGTCAGCTGTATGAGCTCGCATCCTGGCCACGGTATAACATCAATGAGAATTAGATCCTGAACTCGACGTAGGCCTTTCTCACTAGAGGTCGATTGAGCCTAAAATGACTCTCTGTTTATGATGAACATCAGTAGCTCTGGGGAGACAAAGGCGGACGGGACACTCGTGTGCATGGCTACCCCACCGCCTCTGTGTGCTGCGTTGACCTTAATAGGCATTCGCTAACAGCACTTACCCAGGAGGACTATGGGAGAACGTCGGGTTCGATTTGCGCGTGAATGTCGTCCTAGACATTGACGCCGAGTACAGCCACGCTGGTGGAATTTTGGATCGAAATCAATTGACATGCAAATTAGGTGGCCACACATAACGAATTGGGCCGCGGCAGAGCGCTAATTGCCTTGGCCGATTCCGCAACGGCACAATTTGCCATTCGTCGGGGTTCGAATCATCGCGGAGTGCGTGTGTCGGTAAGTGTCCATCAAAAACTGGCGTGTCCGCGGTCATTCGCGCGGTCACGTCTCCATTGTGTACGTGAGTGATGTGCACGAATGTGTCCCGCGGAATATGGATTCGATGTGCTTGAACGAGAGCGCACAATTTTGGAGATCTGTCCAGCCGCGTAATTGCAGGGGCATTACTCGTGTAATAATAAATACATATTTCCCGCACCTCCGATTAGCACGGTTGTCTACGTACGGTGCGAAAGAAGCTCAACATACATACATATAAACGACAACACACCGCCATTTCGGCACTGAGTGGCGGTGATGTCACCACGACGATTGTGCCAGGCTCGGTGCACTTCGATGCCTCGTGAAGTTTAGAAGGTTAGCAGGCAGGAGGGTCATGGGACAGACCCAGTTGCCATGGTTTAACTGACGGAGATGACTGGTAGATGCGCCAACTGTGCTCCCCACTGTGGCACGCACATGTGATAATCTATGTTTATTCAATAGGAATTTCCGGCCCTTTGTCAAACCACTTCTGGGTGGAGGGCCTCCACTCTCCACGCCGGGTTTGGTCATGATAATTTGTCTAACCATACTTCACCACCGTAGTTTGCGCAGGTTGGTGAATGAGGCACCCGGGATATTACTCGCCACTGATGTTAGCCCGAACTGGAAATCAAACTCAGATGGCCCAAAGTTCCGCTTTTCGAGAGAAACCATAAAAATTTGCATCACTTGCTCGCTCACTCACTCACCCACAATCGGCTACGCGAATGTATTAGATGTCATCTTAGCATTTGATAAACAAATGATGAACACGGATAGATGTCAATCAGCAATGCAGCTGCGATCAGCAACTTCATACGCTGCCTACAAACGTCACGTTCGCTCCACGTGGTACGACTGTGTTTTGAAGCCATTCACTCGGCTCCATCTCTGCGTGATCATCTCGTCTTGCTATGAAGCAGCTGTATTTGCTTGCCACTTTTAAAAGTGTGCAAAGCCACCGCACCCCGCGTGATATTCAACAAATACAGCATCGTCTATTTGATATCATATATGCTTTTAGTGCCACGTGCGTGCGTGTTTGGATGTATGGGGAGCGTTAGTGTAGTGGTTAGCGCACTGCACTATAAACCTGCCCACCCGAGTTATATTCCCGCTCACGGCCAACATCGGTGGCGAATATATATGTACCGGTTTTGGGTTTCTTCTAGGTCGACTCAACCTCAAATGAGTAGATGGTATGGTGTGTAAACACGAGCACTGGGGAGACAAAGACGACCGGCGGCTGGGCGTGGTGCTGGCCACCCACCTCCTCACGTGCGGTGTTAACCTTCATCGGAGCTACTTGCAGACGCCACTTTGTCTTTGAATGAAGGTTCCAAAATTGGTTCGCATATCACTCGCCACTGATGTTCGCCGTAGCAGGGAATCAAATGCAGGTAGCTGGGTTCACAACACAATGCATGGCCACTGCTCCACGCTGTTGTTGCTTTATCGTGTGGTTCATGACAGGGCTTGCACGCAAAATCAAATGATCATTTTCCAGTCTCTGGAACTAAACCGTGACTTGAAGATCGTCATTCATTTCACAAGTAGGTTTCAAAGTCCACCACTGTGATTCGTCATTCGTGTTTTTGGGCTAAATAATGTAGACCGTGTGGGTATAACACACGAATTAGACAGGAAAGTGGGCACAAGACAGAGGAAAGTGGACACAAATGATGACATGTGCAGTGGACACCTACGGCCTATCTGCCCATGGATCGTGATGATGATGATGAGACGGGTTTAGTCCACGTTGACTACACAACAGTAGAGGGAAAGAAGGGAAGACACTAAATTCTGAAAGTCTGACAGCCAAATCAATTCTTAAACACGTTGCGCTTTTTTCTGGAGAGAGAAAACAAATAGCTGCCACTCAAAGCGCCATCACGTTCGCCCGGTCTCCTCTGTACAGGTCGCGTGCATCGACTGCCGCCAAATGCCCCACGCGTGCGTCATTCTCTATGTGCTCACTCGCCCCACCGCGTGGATGTACGGCGTAGCGTGCGTGTGTGTGTGATGCGTGCGCGTGTGTGATGCGTGTGCGTGATGCGCGCGTGTGTGTGATGCGCGCGTGTGTGATGCGCGTGTGTGTATGATGCGTGTGTGTGTGTGATGCGCGTGCGTGTGTGTGTGATGCGCGCGTGAGTGATGTGCGTGTGTGATGCGCGCGTGTGTATGATGTGCGTGTGTGTGTGTGATGCGTGTGTGTGTGATGCGCGTGTGTGATGCGCGTGTGTGATGCGCGTGTGTGTGTGTGATGCGCGTGTGTGATGCGCGTGTGTGTGTGATGCACGTGTGTCTGTGTGATGCGCGCGTGTGTGTGTGATGCGCGTGTGTGTGTGTGATGCACGTGTGTGTTTGTGATGCGTGTGTGTGTGTGTGATGCGCGCGTGTGTGTGATGCGCGTGTGTGTGTGTGATGCGCGCGTGTGTGTGATGCGCATGTGTGTGTGTGATGCACGTGTGTGTGTGTGATGTGTGTGTGTGGTGCGTGTGTGTGTGATGCGCGCGTGTGTGTGATGCGCGCCGGCCTAGCCTGGGTCAACCTCTGGCAGTCTTCTTCATTGCGAGGGCCCGCGGGTCACCTACCGCCCCCGGTGGCCTTTAGTGCGGCCCCTGACGGCGCGTTCCCACCGACAGTGCACACACAGCGAGGTCTCATCGGCGAAAGTGGCACCCCCTCTGCAAAATGAGTGAAGGACACGGACCCAACGGGGACCCGCTCGCTTCCCCCAGTACTCGTGGAAAGGCGACAACAGAACCGCACGTTGCGTGCGTATGTTGAACTTCTTTCGCACCGTACGTATCTAACCGTGCTAATGGGAGGTGCGGGGGGGAGGACACACGAAACTAAACACAAGAAAGCAGTTACAGAGAAGCGAGTTCGCAATTACGCGCGCCAGCTCTGTGACCTGGCTCCTCGTGTCAGTCGGGGTGATGTTGCAGGTGGGGTCATGGGCCAATGGTGTCCTCTCCACAACGAACTACCAGCAAGCACACAATCAAATATCTCGCTCACCTACACAACCCACAACGCACAACACGACCACCACCATGACGACCACCGCATCTACACCCCGCAACGAATTACCACCAA